TCTTTTTTTGTTTGCAGCGTTTCTTTTCTGTTTCCATGATTTCTTTTTTGTTTGCAGCGTTTCTTTTTTGTTTGCAGCATTTCTTTTTCTTTGCAGTGTGTCCCTTGTGGGCCATCGTATGAAAAAGGCCTAACTACCCCTTTGTTGGCTACCTTTAAAAATGTGTTAGAGGGCGCTATTCACCACAAACATGGGATCGGGAATATAAAATCGTAATTTTAATAATGGCGGAAGCAGTTATCGGAGCTCCACACTTTTTTTGTCACAATTGTAAACAAGAAATAAATTCTCTGAAACAGGTACACATTTTTGAGGTTTCTATGTTTTAAAAATTGACCAATTTTATGAAAAATAAGCAGTAAACATGATGTAGGCTAGGCCGCTAGCTAGGCTTAGCCCAGGGAAATAACAACTCCCTGCTTAGCCTAGGCTAGGCAATAATGATGTTCTTTGGCAGTGCTAGCTAGCGCTTAGGCCTCCCTCTAGGGCCTGCATACAAACGATGCCAGTAAACAGTGCTGTGTAAAGTGGAACATTAGTATTGTCTTTTCTGACTAAGGGATAGGGCTAGTAGCGTATTTCCAGCAGTAAACTAGTATTATACAACAATCAGAATACCGAATACTAATAATAATAATAGCTTAACCATGATTTACTTATTTAATATTAGGCCTAGCCTATTTAACCCAGTTCTTTTTACTGGAAAACCCCTTTTTTATTTTTGTCATATAGGCCTAGGCCTAATCATACTGTGCCATAAAACTGGTTGCAAATACATAGGAAATTGAGAAAGGTGTCTATTTATTTAGATCACATTTTTTTTTTTATGGCTTTTGAGTCAAAACAGCAAAAACTAAGCATGTTGACAGTATACACCATGATGGTAAAACTCCATCCACAAAAATGCCTCTAAGCTAGTATTAACGCCAAGTAAGAAATGCCAAGGATATAATGGGATAAGGATACTCTTTATACAGCAAAAGAGGCCCCAGTATAATAATTTAAAAAATAATAAAAATTAAATGGATATTCTTATGGATTAATCAAGACTGAAGTTGTTATTAGGGGTCCAGTCAGCACCACCAATCAACACCTCAGATTTACCAGGGAGTTGGATTTATGTAAGGTTGTTAGAACAATATCCATGTCCTAATTGAAATAACATCAAATATAGAAGATCACTTATAATTAAATTTAATAATAACTTATTGTCTTTTCCACCATGAACATTGTGATGATATATACTGTACCAAGCTGGCTTCTAGCTGTTCTCAGTTTGTTTAAAAATCAACAATTTCCAGATCGATGTTTAAATTTTGTAGCCTATGGTATGAACAACTAGGATTATGATTCCCTAACTTCCCGAAAGTTTTGTATTTCTTAAATTAATTTAATCAACCAAGTTGAGGAACCAAGGAGGAGTTATGTTGTTATTTTTAAAGAGGTGATAAATAAGAATTTATAGACATGGTCCAGAAGTGGCACTTTTATACAAATTCTTTTACTGGTAAAAGCGTCTTATAAAGGTGCGTTCGGGCGAGTTTTTTTTGGTGTTGAACACGGAGTAAAAGCGGTAACAGCAATTTCTAGTTTTCGCCCGAACAGGTGTTAATCGCGGACCGCCTGCTGATATTCGCCGATAACCCAACGCTGCAAATTGCAGTGTTCTGGAGGATTAAAACTGGCCTATTTGCACATGCGTTAGCAGCAGGGAGCATTTAATCCTATTTAATCCTTTTTTGATTGCTCTTTAATTGTTTCGGCACGTGCCAGAGCTAAAGTTTGTTTACATTTTAATTCTCCCGATTCTTTTTACAGTTATTTTCCAAAAACAAAACTGAAAAGCTA